CTACTCTTTTACCAATGAATAGTGGGATTGATCGTCACATTATAACACTCCTCACGACTGAAAGGGCGAGCATGTTTGGTGGGATGGGGATTTGAACCCACCACCCTCAGATTGCCATGCCGGGCCAAGACATGAGTGGCAAATGCATCTACAAGAGAAATGCTCAGATGAGAGCACAGCCACTCAAACAACCGAGGATAGAGAGATGACTCCTTAGGTAATATCTTGTTGGGCCTCAAGATTCAGGACACCTGGATTATGACAAACCATTAGTCATACTTGTAAAGAATGGGCCCAGAAAAGGATGTTTTGTGTGTGTGTGGAAACAGATAGAGCAAGACCAAGTACTACCATGGCAATTGATATAGGAGACAAATAAAATGTTGTCAGGAGGGGTCATAACTAGACATCCACAAACCATCATAAGAAAATAATCCAATGCTCGTCATACAGCCAAAAGTTCTAAGAGATTGATATGAATTGATAAAAAATGACCACTGACCTCAATTCTTTTGAGAGTTTAAGATATGTCTTCACCCCATAGAGGACACATCTATAACTAGATGGAGATCCAGATGCGAGGGAGGTAGAGAAACTCCCACTGTGGGATTGATTTTGTCAAGCCACCAGGTGAATCATTGAGTGTGGAAAATAGATTAATGATGGAAAACAAGGAAATCCAAGCAAGGTTCCACTGATTTTTCAGAGACTACTGAAGATGTTGCATATGAGCATGACCCAAGAGGATAAGGGATTCCATGGAAATCAAGTCTCCAAAAGAGAGAAAAACTCCCTGGCAGTGACAGAAGGAGAGAATAGGGCAGTGGAAACTAATTGCTCCATGACCCTCAAACAAAGAGGAGAAGGTTGAGTCCTGTTGAGATGCAAATTGAAAAATACATCCAAATGAACGAGATACTGCTTGGACATGAGATGCAACTTCTCCAGTTTGAAAGGAAACCAGGGAAGAAATGTAAGAATGTTAGTGCACATCCTCCACAAGAGACTCCAGAGAGCCCGGTACTTTCACAAAAACATGCTGGTAGAGAAAAGATGCCAGCCAAAGATCTTTGAGATAAGATACAGTTGAGTAAGAAGGGTTTCCCTGCCTAACAAATCCCAGCAACAAAGCAACCACATATGGAGAGACAAACCTGAAGAAGATAACTGCACCAAAATCAAAAAGACAAGAGAACAAGTATCTGCTGAAAATCCCTAAAGTGAACGGTGGATAGTTTCTCAAAGAAAATGGATAGAGTAAAAACAGTGCAAGAGAGTAGTAAGCATAAGATGAAAGTGCAAGAATTGAGCTGGCAAGAAACATAAAGAAGATAAAGGATCTGACCCCTAAGACTGAATAAGTGATTCGAAATTCTGTGTATCCAAAAATAGAGAATATCGGATCTATGAAAGGCCAAGGCATGTGTATCTGCCAAATGGGGAGGACGAACCATGCTGGCACCAGCACAAAGTTGACAGAAACTGATCAGCATGGTCCTGAAAATCAGGAAGAAGGAGGGAGACATATATCAGTAGTAGGGGCTGAC